ATTTTCGAACATTAGAAAGTAAAAATATATGATTATGTAGTATGTAAACAATAAATTTTAATTAAAAAAATTAGATTTCTATTCAATCCTGTGTGTTCTCTTAGATATCAATTTACGCGGAGCTTTTTCCCTTCCAGTTTTCTCACAGTAAACAGTACCGTCGGAAAACAAATTGTTGGAGAGCGGAGTTGGGCTGCCAAAACAGTGTTGTTTTTCTTTCTTATCATTTCTTTCTTATTACCTTTCGTTCCTTTTTAGTCAATCCCTATATATGAGTGTATTAGAGTCCAGATTAATAATGTTTGGTGTGTTTTGTATCAAGACTCTCTTCTTCCGTTCAAGGGTTGTATCCTAGGGTTCCAAGTGGTGCTTAGGTTATATCTTGATTTCCAGGTGGTGATTTATCCTTCCCCCATTGCACCATACCGTTCCACGTCGTCCTTTCCTGCTGCAGCAGCCCTTAGGACAGCAGCTTTTGCTGTTTTTCACTGCAGTCTTCAGATTCCAGCACTCCTTGCTCACTATCCCCGTCTCGGACAGCAGCTCCTTGCTGCCCTGCACCCTCCCCGCTTCACAACTTCATTGCCGTCATCAAAAAACAGTAAACCTTCTGTTTTCTGCTGTCTCCTGGCTGTTCCAGCCTTTCCTACCGCACCTCACCATTTTGTTCGCCACCATTTATTTCCTGTTTTGTTTGAAGAGTCGCCATTTTGTTCGCCACCATTTATTTCCTGTTTGAAGAGTCGTCGTTGTAACCCTATTTGAATTCAACAATAATATTTATATTTCTACTGTGATTTGGGTTAACTCTGGTAGCATTTGATATAAGAGCTAGCCTAACCCTACTCTTATCCTAGAGTTTTCTAACACCCGCCCCTACCTAAGTCATCTTCACTGAAATTTTTCTTTCTTATTCACAAACCCAAGCCAAATTTTAACTAACCCTAATTTCCCAATGCTGTTTTTCGAAATCAGCAACCCCAAATTAATTTTCCTACACCTTTAACCCTCTTTCACTTCACAACCCTAAACCCTAGTCATATTACCAAGAAGATACATGCATGAACCCACTTGAGAGAAGATATAGCGAGAAATCCGTCGACTTCAACGGGAGAATCTAAAGATAAAGCAGGAGATACAACGCCAGTTTCAATTAGCTTATTATAGACATAGTGTTCAAACCCTAGCTTCAGAAGTGAATAAGCAACATCACCAAGCGACTACCACATCTTATACACAGTTCAACCTCTGGGTTTTACAGCTAGAGTACACTTAAGTAGAACACTCAAGACGACCCCGTTAAAGGAAAAAATAGTTCAGAATGAAGAACAAGTGGAACCAATCCACATCCATAAATCTATCACAATAGGAAGTGTTTCAAGTGCCACGGTTTTGGACATAATGAATCAGTTTGCACAATAAGAAGAGTGATCGCTTTCACTGATCAAGGAGCGGTTAAGAAATAAACGCTGATCCAGAAGAAGATGAAGACTTGAGAGAGGATCCTCAATTTTCAACCAACGAGGAAGAGACACCATTGATTCTAATTGACTCCAACATAGAGATTTCAACTGATATAACAACAGTTGTTCAAGAAGGTATTGAATCTGATGTAACAGACGTTGAGAGAGCATCAGCAGGACTAACCCTGGATGTCAAAAGGAGTCATGAGTTTGAGTAACTGAAATCAGACACGACAAGAAACTCAGACTTTTAAGATCCATAGACTCATCTCTGAGTTGCCCCTACTAAGGGAGGTCAGCTTATCAGAGATGAGACTCTTTTGTGCCATGTCGAGAAGATTTCAAGGAGTATTTAAGATGTTAGATTTAGTTCAGTATGGTACATATTCTCAGATGTCCAAACAGGAGGGATGAAACCCAACTTTGAAATTTGTATTAGAGGCTTGATGGGGAAGAAAATTCTTCAATAGGATCAAGAACATATCAGTGAAGAAGAAGAGGTCGCTCCTGAGTGATTGCTAATGTGAAAGGTGCAACCTACCACAGATTTCACCCCATAGTTAATTTCTCTTCACATCCTGGTTTATCAGCTACATTTTGTCGAGTACGAGGAGTGAAAAAAGAAGTTTACTAATGGAATAGCCCGATACCTGATTCATGAGAATACTAGTCTACCAATAGTGTCAGCTCAGATTGTGTCAAAAGATGATGGATATCTATTCTATCATAATGTGCTTTAAAATGATAACGCCTACTTGATCGACCTACTAGGGGACTACAATATATTTTCTACCTTCAATTTGACAGATTTGACTCCCTGCTATGAGCAGCCAGAAACTTCGACGAATGAAGTTGAAACTTCCACAACACCAGGAGATTGACACGAAAGCTTTTTCCAGCACAGTTTTCTTGCGGTACTGTAGCTAGCCGAAAAAAAAAATAGCGGGAGGCAGGAGTCGGACAGCCAAAATAGTGTCGTTTTTCTTTCTTACTATTTGTTTCCTATTATCCTTTGTTCTTTTTAGTCCTTCGCTAAAAATGTCTATTAGGATTTGGATTAGTGGTTTTTAGTGCGTTTTGTGTTGGGACAGCTGTCAGTGTATCTTCTTCTCATCATGGGTTATTCTAGTATTCCAAGTAGTGCTTCGACTATATCTTGATTTCCAGGAGGTGATTTATCCTCCCCATCACACCCAGCGCTCCACGTCGTCCTTCCAGGCTGCAGTCGCACCCAGAACAGCAGCTTTTGTCGTTTTTCACTGCAGTCTTCCCATTCCAGCCCTCCTTGTTCGCAGCCCCCGTCCCGGACAGCAGCTCTTTGCTGCACTGCAGCCTCTCCGCTTCGCCCATTTGCTTTCATTATATGGAAAACAGCAAACATGTTGTTTTCTTCTGTTCCTAGGCTCTTCCAGTCTTTCCTACCGTGCCTCGCCACTTCGTTCGCCACCTCGCCTGCTGCCTTTGCTGTTTCAACATTCCGCTTCGCTGCCAACACAATTCCTGCCCCTCTTTTGGCTGTTCTGACCACCTAACCGACCTCCACCAACCTTGGGATATACTTTAGTGGTGTTTGTTGGTGTCATTTTATGTTTGTTATCATTTATTTCCTGTTTAAAGTGTCATTGTTGTAATCATATTCGAATTCAACTATTTCTATTACGGTTTGGGTTAGCTCCGGTATCATCAATTCCTTCAAGTGCAGCTCAAAAATAACTACATTTTTTTTAGGCAACTCCTTGTCAAATAAAAGGCCTAGATTTTCCTCTACTTGGTGAACCCTTCCCTTATTCTTTTTCTTATAAATAATTTGTGATTGTTTTTTGTGATCGTAATTGATTTGTAAATCTTAATAGACTTTTGGGTTTTTCTAGTTTTTATTTTCTGTTAAGCTTCTTTTATTTCGTTGATTTTAAATTATTATTTGGTGTGAATTTTACATATTTTTTTGGTTAAGATCAAAAGAAGACAATTTCTTGTTCTAATTAAAAGAATTTAACCACGACTTTTAAATATGAAGCATATGATTTCATGCATTGCGGCATTTTGTCGCATTAGAATTCCTAAATCCTACGAAGCCCTTACCTAGGGGATTTGGTGTGAATAAAAAATGAGCCAAGCAGCTGAAAATAGAGTAGAAAAAAAGGATTTTATCAAAGCAATCCATCATAAGAAGCAAATTAACCAAAATAACAGTTACTCGGGGAGGGGATTGACCAAATATTTTCCCATTTACAAGAGGATGTACCTTGGTGTATGCTTTTTGCTGATGATATCCTTCTCGTGAATAAGACGAGAGAAAAAGCAAAAGAAAAACTTGAATTATGGAGATCTACATTGGAGTCTAAAAGTTTTCATTCGAGTAGAATTAAAACTGAATACAAGGAATGTAATCTTAGTAGTAGTAGCTCTAGTGACAGAAGTGTAACTTTGGGTAATCAAATTATAAAAAGGTGCGAACGATTTAGATATCTTGGGTCTATTGTTCAAAGTGATGGTGATATAGATGGGGATGTTAATAGTAGAATTCAAGTTGGTTGGTTGAAGTTGAGGAGAAGATGCTTCGGGCCTTTTGTGTGATAGAAAAGTACCGCTTAAACTAAAAGGAAAATTTTATAAGACGGTGTTGAGACCTGCAATGCTCTAAGGTGTTGAACGTTGGCCTTTAAAAGAGAAGCATAATACTAAGTTAAGTGTTGTCGAGATGAGAATGAATAGGTGGATGAGTGACTTTACACTTAGAGACAAAATGTGAAATAAATATATCCATGATAGGGTTGGTGTAGCTCCTGTGATAAACAAAATTAGAGAATGTTGTCTTAGATGGTTTGGTCACATTAAACGTCAACCATATGATGATCTGATCAGGAGAGTAAATGTTTTAGATTCGACTTATATTAAGAAAGGCAGAGGTAGACCCAGGAAGACTTGGGCTTATTGTATAAAAAATGATTTTAATATATTAGAACTAAATGAAAATATGACACTAAATAAGATGCAATGGAGAAAAAGGATTCACAACAAAGCCTTAATCCCAGTCCTTAGAGATAAGCTATCAAAAATGCGTGTGATGTAAAGGTTTCAACATCCCATCCTTTAGACAAGCCATCAAAAAGAAAATATCAGCTACATAATGATGGACCGTGATAAGTTCCAAAAGAAATTTAGAAGATCAATAAGAGATTATTAGTCTTACAACCTAACTATATAAGGAAGTTCAGAGTTACAGAATCCATCAAAGCAACAGCATCTACATTTTCAAAAAAAATTCAGAAGGTAATTAATCAACCTGAAATATACTGTCATTCACATGAGAAAAAATACAAGAGAAACGATAATTTCAAGAAAGAAAAGTAGCACACCCTTTAAGGTCTATGCCATGTAAAATGGATTGAAACATATCCAAGGCTTGAAAGCATTCCTTGTTTCTATACATACTGCAACCTTATGATGACATTCATGGGAAAATATGAAAAAAATAAATAAATAATGAAACTGCCAGGGAAAAACTTTGTGTGGAAACCAAGTTATTAAACTTACCAAAAGCATTGATCTGCTCCTCTGCAGAGTAAAACTGCAGTTGGACAATAGGCCCATGGTGCCATCAACAAGTGCTTTCCTAACCTTCTCAGCAGGATAAACGCAAAGCTAAAAAAATGAAAAGAGATAAAAGCAAAAGATTACCAAGAGCATGAACTTACATATCAATATTACGGAATAAATCACAGGCAGGGAGCTGAAAGAACATACATGCGGAAAGATGGCAGATAATAACTTATCAACATGAGCAGAAGTTTGATCTACCCAATCCTTTGTCCGTTGCACATACAATGATCTTGCTCCGAGGAAAGTATCATGATTTTTCACCTTACTCACATCTTCTGAAGGAGTCTGGGCTGACAGAGAAATTAAATCTTCTGATTGATTATGAAGATTGGCCTGCAATTGTCGAAGCACGTCCAGGACAGTTTGGGTTGATCCATTCTTGTGCTGATAACTGCAGGTAATCTCACTGGTGGACGTCTGCAGTCCGCTGAGGTTTACATCATCCCTTAAAACTACTATCAAGAACTCAGTTAATCCAAGAACTGCATGTTCAATCCTGCTGATCCACTTATCATATTCTTCGTCACAAGCAAAGATTTTGTGAAGCGACTAACCATACCCGGAAGAAAAAAAGCAAGTGCATCAGCAGTTCCAACCTTCAAAGTAGATAATGTAATTTTAAATAGCCATATAATCTAAGAAAATCAAGTAGAAAAAAATCAATTAGTGCCCAAAGGCCAACAAGTACACCAACCAAGCAGTGCATGTGACAAGCACATTTTACATGCAAATAATTCAGAAGCGTTTCTGATTATGCAAACATAGTTTATTGAATTTTTCTTTGTGCATGGTGCTTTCAAAATACTCCATAGTGTAAGTATACCAAAGTTAACCCAAATCACATTACAAAAAAACAAATATTATTATAGGAAGCAGATAGAAGGTTACAATCAATGCACTTGAAAGGGAAAATACAATACCAACGACATGCAACTCAATTTAGGGCGGATCCTAGGAGATTGTGATGATAGTTAGGGAGATCGGAGAGGTAGCGGCAAGGTTGGCAAGGGGTTTCCGGACTGTGAATAAGTGGTGGCAGCGGTTAGGGACAGCACGGGGTGACAGTCCAAACAGCAGCAGGTTGCTGTTTGGGGCGGCTAGACAGCAGGAAGATGACAAAAGGAAGGCATTGCGAGCTACAGCAGCAAAGGTGGAGAGCTGGAATAACAAGGACGAGGAGGAGAAGGCGCTTGGTAGGGGGTTGCTTTAGCGTGGTACGGCGGCAAGGAGTGATGTGAAAAGATGCGAAAGGTGATACGAGGGAGATAATCACCACCTCAAGAGACAGATACAGCCGGAGCACCACCCAATCCCTTGGGTACATCCCTCAAAAAAGAAAACAGATTCCAACGATAGTCCAAACAGAAATCTAAAATAAAACTCACCAAAACCTCCAAATCCAAACCCTAATACACCCATATATAGGGAAGGGTTAAAAAAGAATGAAGGATAATAGGAAAAAAAGTAATAAGAAAGAAAAACGAAACTATTTTGGTGGCCCGAACCTAGTCTCTAGCTATTTGTTTTCCCGTGGTATTATAGCAACAACAGTACCGCGAGAAAACTATGCGGGAAAAAGCTCCCGCATTAATAAGAAGTTACAATAGAGTTCCACAAACCAGAAAAAATAGCTATAAAAAAGTGAAGATTTCTTGATAAGTAAAGCAGCTATTTCATATATCGTCAAAATCATATCTGTCACGTGATATAAACATATTAGCAAGCTTTAGGTATTAAGTTCTTAAGAAAATGGAAAACCAAACAAATTATGTTGCATGTCTCTATTTCTCACATGAGAGAAGAGGAATAACAATTTTATGAGGTGTAAAAAGTTTTTATTTGCATTTATAACCAGGACATAAATTCATGTACAAAATGGGAAAAAAAGGATCCTGAACTCACCCAAAGTGGGGTAACCGGCGTTCAAAGGTCCTTCATGGGTTCTGGCGTTGAAGAGGCGCTATACTAGTGCATGCAAGAAAGAGCAAATCATTTACGGGCACCAAATGCTGCTCCAAAAATAGTTTAGGTAATCATCCAATATCCATTTTCTTCAAATGTTTGAGAAGATATCACCTTGTTATAGATTTCAGACATTCCAACCTCTGTCATGGATCCATTAAATTGAATCATAATTCAAAATATTGTTCTTTTACTCCAAGAAAAGATGAGGACTCAATCCATAATGCCCTTTCTTCAAGTCATAAAGCAAGATATATACATTTTTTTTTTGCAATCATTTGGCTTTATTTGTCTCAAGCAATGAAATTAAAAATTCGAACGAATAGAAACACTTCATTGGCATTATAGTGAAGATTGGATTAGTTCTATCATCTTCACTTTCTTCTCAAAGTCAAATTCTCAGACATTCCAGACACTTATGAAAAAAGGTTGCATGAACCTCACTGGTTTTCCTGTTATGGTAAAAAATAAATAAAATGAGAGTGGTGGCAATTCTAGATCCAAGAAACATAGCATTCATGGTTTGTAATTCTGTTCCTGGACTTGGTCTTCTTTGAGTTAATCTCATCCAAGTTTAAGAGTAATTTTTTCGGAAAAGCATGTCATCTCTAAAGAATCTCTTTGGAATGCTTTGATTCCAATAAAAGTCGAATATTTTCTTGCATTCTCAATAATATTCTGAGACAATTCAAGAAATTCACTTGTACAACATAGTATTATAACCAAGATTATTTGACTTTTAGAATACACTAATCTCCACATCTTTCTAGTTATTCCTCCACGATTGTGATCTCCCAGATATTCCAAGTCCACATATCCTCAAATTATTCTTGTTAACCCAACTATCGCGCCCACCTTGAATGTTCCTTCTAATTCAAATTAAAATGTTGATTCTTCTTTGGCTTCTTTGGGCATTAATTTAAATGGTTATGCTTCAAAATAATCCCTGAAATATTCCAAAGTTAATGATCAATAGAGCCCCAGAGTATCACATTTCTCTAATTTAGTCCCTCGATTGAACAAAATTGATCCAAATTGTCTCTTAAAAACAACACTGGGATAAAAGTTGAATTTTCAAGATACTAAAATGGAAGCAACTTTGTATCATTATTTCTATGTTATTATTTTTTATCAATTTTGTAAAGCTAAAAGACTAAAATGGAGAATTTGATACTCTAAGAGTGTGTCTGAGGCGGCTTATCCACAGCTTTTGCGTTTTCAAAACGCAGGGAGGGCGTTTGTTTCTTACGTTTGGAGTGTGTTTGGCCAAACGCGATTTTGTGTTAATACATAGACGCGGCCTGTGGCCTCATCCCCGCGAGCCAGTGTCTCGATCTATTTTTTACTTACATACCCCTTGTACTCGCCCTCTCACTTGCGTCTCGTGCCCTAGGTTTTGATCGTCTTCCCTATCCTCGTCACCCTCTCCCCTACGTTTCTTGCCCTAGGTTTCGATTGGTATTCTCGTTCTCTCCTCTGCGATCTAACATCATTGTGCTTTGTAAGTATTTAGCAATTTTATTTTGTTGTGATCCGTAACCTTGGAGAATTGCGTTGAGGGTCTTTGGAGCATTGCGCATAAATGCCTCTTTTGATTTACAGTGAATTGTTTTCCGTGCGAAGTAAGATGTTGCGTATACATTGCATTCGCTTGAGAGTTTGTGGAGATGGTTTTCGTTTTTTGATGTTCGAATGCAGATCTAAAATTTCCATTTTGGAGAAATGAGGATGTTCGTATGAGATGGTTTTCGTTTTTTATGTTTCTTTTTTGACGTTCGTGGTTGCTAAAATTTCTAAGATTGGCATTCATTTTTTAAATTACCATTAGTTTTGAGTTTGGTAAGTTTTGCGATTGACATTTCTATGGCATTTTGGAGAAATGAGGATGGAGGATTTTTTCTGGTTGTCATTCATTTCAGCAATTGGCATTCATTTGGATTTTTTCTGGTTAATTTTGAACGGCATTTGTTTCGACTGGCTTGCGTGTTGTGGCATAGGTGTGTTGGATTTGACTTGCTTTGACTGGCTTGCGTGTGGTGGGTTGGGTGTGTTGGCTTGTGTGTGCTTGGTGACTTTAGGTGTGTGGGTTGGTGGTTTAGGTGAGGTGTGCACATGGCAGTGGTGCCTGTGAGTGTTGTTTATGGTGGCTTTGGTGTGCTTGCGGTAGCTTTTGGTGACAGATGCTTGATATATTTCATCAATTAAATTCTAACAGTTTTCATATGTTCACATGCGTGATGCGAGGCTTTCGAAAGTTCACTTGCGCACCATATAATCCCTATGCACTTGCATGCCTAGCAGTTAAAGCTTATTCCTGTGAGGAAAAATTTGTAAAGTAACCTTATTCATAGGAGCTATTGGTTTAAAATCAACAGTCAACTTGCTACGTTGTAGTTATCTATCTCTTTTTTCTTGCATAAACTTTTGACGATTCTCATAAAAAACCAAGATCATCCAATATGGATGTCTTGTTTGTATGCTCCTTGAAAATCTTAAACATTTGATTACCTTGCTCAAGTTTCACCTCCTCAATCTCTTTGCTATTAGTGACGTTTTTTTTGGCATTGCTCTCGATTGCTATATGCATCAGAAGATTGCTATGTCCAATCATTTCTGCAACACTGGTGTTTATGGTGGCTTGGGCGTGCTTGTGGTGGTTTTGGGTGTGTGCGTTAGTGGTTTAGTTGAGGTGTTTGCGTAACAGTTGTGCCCGTGAGTGGTCTTCATGGTGGCTTGTGTGTTTTTTAGGTGACTTTGGGTGTGTGGGTTGGTGGTTTAGGTGATGTGCGCACGTGACAGTGGTGCATGTGAATGGTGTTTATGGTGGCTTGGGTATGCTTATGATAGTTTTGGGTGTGTGGGTTGATGGTTTAAGTGAGGTGTGCATGTAACTGTGGTGCATGTGACTGGTGTGTGTGATTGTGGTGGCTTTGGGTGTGTGCGTTGGAGGTTGAGTTTGAGGTTGAGGTGAGGTGTGCATGTGAGTGGTATTTATGGTAGTTTGTGTGTGCTTGTGGTGACTTTGGGTGTGTGGGTTGGTGGTTTAGGTGAGGTGTGCACATGACAGTGGTGTCTGTGTGTTGTTTATGGTGGATTGGGTGTGCTCTGCATACCCTTTCGGTTGGGTGCGTTGTGTTTATGGTGGCTTGTGTTCTATGCTTCAAATGAGTTTCTTTATTATGTTAAGTTTTTGTTTCTATTGGTGCTTTATTTTATTATCAATACCAGTAAACGTATGCATCCATAGCTTTATTAGTCTCATTATGGCTAAGAACAAAGAAGCGGTTACCTCAGCAATGTAGGACAAGGATGTTACAAATATTTTCTGCAATTTCGCTATTAAGAAGATCGAACTTGGAAATAGGCTCATCACTTACTTTAACAAATAAGGGTGATAGAATATTTCTAAGAAGTTTAAAGAATTAACAGGTCGGGAGTATGATCAATTACAATTCAAGAACAAGAGAGATCAGCTAAAGAATGATTAGAAGTTATGGAAGGAACTAAAACGGGGATCTACGGGATTGGAAAGAGATCCTACCAAGCATACCGTGAATGTTTCAGAGGAATGATTGACTGAGAAGTTAGAGGTACTAAATGTATTCCTGTGAACTCTTCAGTTAATTATCATTTT